GGAGAATGGGGTTCATTGGGGTAATAATGGGGTAAATAGGGGGATGAATGGGGTCCACAGGGGTGATAATGGGGTCCATTGGGGGATGAATGGGGTCCCTGGGGGTAATAATGGGCCCCATAGGTGGATAAATGGGGTCCATAAGGGGATAAATGGGGTTCATTAAGGCAGAAATGGGGCTCATTGGGGTAATAATGGGGTCCATAGGGGGATAAATGGGGCTCACTGAGGCAGAAATGGGGTTCATTGGGGTAATAATGGGGTCCATAGGGGGATAAATGGGGCTCACTGAGGCAAAAATGTGGTTCATTGGGGTAATAATGGGGTCCATAGGGGGATACATGGGGTTCATGGGGGCAATAAATGGGGTCACTGGGCATAAATGGGGTCCCTGGGTCGCTAATGCGTTCATTAATTGGCTATTAATGAAATCTCAGGGCCATCAATAGGTTCATGGGCTCACCAATAGATGCATTAATGCCCTATTAATGAAAGCCCAAAGAACTTGATAGAACTACGGGGTCATTAATAGATTCATTAATGGCCTATTAATGAAATACCAAAGTAATTACTAGAACCATAGGGTCATTAATAGATTCATTAATGGCCTATTAATGAAATACCAAAGTAATTACTAGAACCATAGGGTCATTAATAGATTCATTAATGGCCTATTAATGAAACCGCAAGGTATTTAATAGAACTACAGGATCATTAATACATTCATTAATGACCTATTAATGAAATACCAAGGTAATTAATAGAACCACCGGATCATTACTAGCTTTATTAATGGCCTATTAATGAAATTACAAGGCAACTAACAGAGCCATCAGGTTATTAATAGATTCATTAATGGCCTATTAATGAAATCACAAAATAATTGATAGAACTATCAAATCATTAATACGTTCATTAATAACCCATTAATGAAAGCCCAAAGTAATTAACCATAGGATTATTAATGGATTCATTAATAGCTTATTAATAAGACACCAAAACAATTAATAGAACTATCAAATCTTTAATAAATTCATTACTGACCTACTAATTAAATTATAAAGTAACTAATACAGCTATCAGGTCATTAATAGAATAATTAATGACCTATTAATGTAATTATGACGTCATTATTATGATCAGGGGACGCAAACGCATTCATTGACGACCTATTGATGAAACCATGGTTTCATTAATAGGAGCACTAATTAATAGATTCATTAATGGGCTATTAATGAGCTCCGGGGTCACCAATAGGATAAAGGCTCATCAGTGGTCATTGATGCCCTGTTAATGAAACCTCAAACCAGCCCCAAACCTGAGCCCATCTATGGGACCAGGGGGCACTTATGGGTCCGGGAGGGCACTTATGGGTCCAAGGGGGTCAGTTATGGGTCCGGGAGGGCACCTATGGGTCCTAGGGGTCACTTATGGGTCCAAGGGGTGCCACTTATGGGTCCTGGGAGTGTCACCTATGGGTCCTAGGGGTCACTTATGGGTTCTAGGGGTCACTTATGGGTCCTGGGGGTCAGTTATGGGTCCGGGGGGCACTTATGGGTCCCAGGGGTCACTTATGGGTTCTAGGGGTCACTTATGGGTCCTGGGCATCACTTATGGGTCCTAGGGGTCTCTTATGGGTCCTGGAGTCACTTATGGGTCCAGAGGGGGTCACTTATGGGTCCTAGTGCGGGTTAGTTATGGGTCAGGGGGGGTTAGTTATGGGTCCTGGGCGTCACTTATGGGTCCTGGGCACCAGCTATGGGTCCAGTTGGGTCACTTATGGGTCCTGGGCACCAGTTATGGGTCCAGTTGGGTCACTTATGGGTCCTGGGCATCAGTTATGGGTCCAGGGGGTGCTAGTTATGGGTCCAGTTGGGTCACTTACGGGTCCTGGGCACCAGCTATGGGTCCAGAGGGGGTCACTTATGGGTCCATAGGGGGTCACTTATGGGTCCTAGGGGTCACTTATGGGTCCAGTTGGGTCACTTATGGGTTGGGGGGGGTTAGGTATGGATCCTGGGCAGCAGTTATGGGTCAGGGGGGTCACTTATGGGTCCTGGGGGTGTCACTTATGGGTCCTAGGGGTCACTTATGGGTCCAGAGGGGTCACTTATGGGTCCTGGGGATCACTTATGGGTCCAGGGGTGTTAGTTATGGGTCCTGAGCACCAGTTATGGGTCCAGTTTGGTCACTTATGGGTCCTGAGCACCAGTTATGGGTCCATAGGGGGTCAGTTATGGGTCCTAGGGGTCAGTTATGGGTCCTAGGGGTCACTTATGGGTCCATGGGGGTCACTTATGGGTCCATGGGGGTCACTTATGGGTCTATGGGGGTCACTTATGGGTCTATGGGGGTCACTTATGGGTCCATGGGGGTCACTTATGGGTCCTGAGCACCACTTATGGGTCCATGGGGGTCACTTATGGGTCTATGGGGATCACTTATGGGTCCATGGGGGTCACTTATGGGTCCATGAGGGTCACTTATGGGTCCATGGGGGTCACTTATGGGTCCTGAGCACCAGTTATGGGTCCATAGGGGGTCAGTTATGTGTCCAGAGGGGGTCTGTTATGGGTACATAGGGGTCAGTTATGGGTCCATAGGGGGTCAGTTATGGGTCCTGAGCACCAGTTATGGGTCCATAGGGGGTCAGTTATGGGTCCATAGGCGGTCAGTTATGGGTCCATAGGGGGTCAGTTATGGGTCCATAGGGGGTCAGTTATGGGTCCTGAGCACCAGTTATGGGTCCATAGGGGGGGTCAGCTGTGGGTCCATAGGGGGGTCAGTTATGGGTCCATAGGGGGTCAGTTATGGGTCCATAGGGGTCAGTTATGGGTCCATAGGGGGTCAGTTATGGGTCCATAGGGGTCAGTTATGGGTCCATAGGGGTCAGTTATGGGTCCATAGTGGGTCAGTTATGGGTCCATAGGGGTCAGTTATGTGTCCATAGGGGTCAGTTATGTGTCCATAGGAGTCAGTTATGTGTCCATAGGGGTCAGTTATGGGTCCATAGGGGTCAGTTATGGGTCCATAGGGGTCACTTATGGGTCCATAGGGGGTCACTTATGGGTCCATAGGGGGTCAGTTATGGGTCCATAGGGGTCAGTTATGGGTCCATAGGGGGTCAGTTATGTGTCCATAGGGGGTCAGTTATGGGTCCATAGGGGGTCAGTTATGGGTCCATAGGGGTCAGTTATGTGTCCATAGGGGTCAGTTATGGGTCCATAGGGGGTCAGTTATGGGACCACAGGGGGTCAGTTATGGGTCCTGAGCACCAGTTATGTGTCCATAGGGGGTCAGTTATGGGTCCTAGGAGTCACCTATGGGTCCATAGGGGGGGGTCAGTTATGGGTCCATAGGGGGTCAGTTATGCGTCCTGAGCACCAGTTATGGGTCCATAGGGGGTTATGGGTCCATAGGGGGTTATGGGTCCATAGGGGTTCAGTTATGGGTCCATAGGGGGTCGTTATGGGTCCTGAGCACCAGTTATGGGTCCATAGGGGGGGTCAGCTGTGGGTCCATAGGGGGGGTCAGTTATGGGTCCATAGGGGTTCATTATGGGTCCATAGGGATCAGTTATGGGTCCATAGGGGTTCAGTATGGGTCCATAGGGGTCAGTTATGTGTCCATAGGGGTCATTATGGGTCCATAGTGGGTCAGTTATGGGTCCATAGGGGTCAGTTATGGGTCCATAGGGGTCTTATGTGTCCATAGGAGTCAGTTATGGGTCCATAGGGGTCATTATGGGTCCATAGGGGTCAGTTATGGGTCCATAGGGGTCATTATGGGTCCATAGGGGGTCACTTATGGGTCCATAGGGATCATTATGGGTCCATAGGGGTCGTTATGCCGATAAGGGCTGAGTCATGGGTCCATAGGGGTCTTATGGGTCCATAGGGGGGTCAGCTGTGGGTCCATAGGGGGGTCATAAGGGTCCATAGGGGTCCATATGGGGTCCATAGGGGTCTATATGGGATCCATAAGGGTCCATAGGGGTCCATATGGGTGAGTCATGGTTCATAGGGGTTCAGTTATGGGGTCCATGGGGTCTATATGTGTCCATAGGGGTTCATTGTGGGTCCATAGGGGGTCAGTTATGGGTCTATAGGGGTCACTTATGTGTCCATAGGGGGTCGCTTATGGGTCCATAGGGGATGGATGGGTCCATAGGGGGTCAGTTATGGTCTTGGGGTGAGTTATGTGTCCATAGGGGGTCAGTTGTGGGTCCATAGGGGGTCAGTTATGGGTCCATAGGGTCAGTTATGTGTCCATAGGGGGGTGAGTTATGTGTCCATAGGGGTCAGTTATGTGTCCATAGGGGTCAGTTATGGGTCCATAGGGGTCAGTTATGTGTCCATAGGGGTCAGTTATGGGTCCATAGGGGGTCAGTTATGTGTCCATAGGGGGGGTCAGTTATGTGTCCATAGAGGTCAGTTATGGGTCCATAGGGGTCAGTTATGGGTCCTGAGCACCAGTTATGGGTCCATAGGGGTCAGTTATGGGTCCATAGGGGTCAGTTATGGGTCCTGAGCACCAGTTATGGGTCCATAGGGGGGGTCAGTTATGGGTCCTGAGCACCAGTTATGGGTCCATAGGGGTGAGTTATGGGTCTGGAGGTGGTCGTTGGGTTAATAGTGGGGGTCAATTATGGGTCCATGGGGGTTCAGTTATGGGTCCATAGGGGGTCAGTTATGTGTCCATAGGGGTCAGTTATGGGTCCATAGGGGGTCAGTTATGGGTCCTGAGCACCAGTTATGGGTCCATAGGGGTCAGTTATGTGTCCATAGGGGTCAGTTATGGGTCCATAGGGGGGGTCAGTTATGGGTCCATAGGGGTCAGTTATGTGTCCATAGGGGTCAGTTATGTGTCCATAGGGGTCAGTTATGGGTCCATAGGGGAGGTCAGTTATGGGTCCTAGGGGTCACCTATGGGTCCATAGGGGTCAGTTGTGGGTCTGAGTGGGTCACTTATGGGTCCTAGGGGCCAGCTGTGGGTCCGACCTTGTCCCGGGCGGGGTCGTCGTCGGTGTCGTGCTGCTCGACGCCGAACTTGTGGTCCATCTCCTCGCCGCCCTCGCAGATGTTCTTGCCCTTGCAGAGCTCGTAGACGTGGCTCAGCCGCTTCTTGGGCTGCCCCTTGGACTTGGCCAGGATGTCCCGGATCTTGGGGTTGTTCTGGGGTGCGGGGGGGGGACAGGCACAGGGGTTATTGGGGAATAGAGGGGGTGGGGGGGAAAAAAAGGGGGGTTTGGTTAAAAATAGCGGTTTTTGGGGGAAAAATGGGGGTTTTGGGGGGAAAAATGGGGGTTTTGGTTAAAAATAGCGGTTTTGGGGGGGGAATGGGGGTTTTGGGGGGAAAAACAGGGGTTTGGGGAAAAAGGGGGTTTTGGTTAAAAATGGCGGTTTTGGGGGGGGAATGGGGGTTTTGGGGGGAAAAACGGGGGTTTTGGTTAAAAATGGCGGTTTTGGGGGGGAATGGTTTTGGAAAGGGGGTTTTGGGGGGAAAAACGGGGGTTTTGGTTAAAAATAGCGGTTTTGGGGGGGGAATGGGGGTTTTGGGGGGAAAAACGGGGGTTTTGGTTAAAAATAGCGGTTTTGGGGGGAAAAATGGGGGTTTTGGGGGGAAAAAAGGGGGTTTTGGTTAAAAATAGCGGTTTTGGGGGGGAATGGGGGTTTTGGGGGGAAAAATGGGGGTTTTGGTTAAAAATAGCGGTTTTGGGGGGAAAAAAGGGGGTTTTGGTTAAAAATAGCGGTTTTGGGGGGAAAAATGGGGGTTTTGGGGGGAAAAACAGCGGTTTGGTTAAAAACAATGGTTTTGGGGGTGAAAAATGGGGATTTTAGTTAAAAACAGGGGTTTGGGTGCAAAAACAAGGGGTTTCGTTAAAAACAGCGGTTTGGGGGGAAAAACAATGGTTTTGGTTAAAAACAAGGGGTTTTGGGGGAAAAATGGGGGTTTTGGTCAAAAACGGTGGTTTGGGGGGAAAAATGTGAGTTTTGGGGGCAAAAACAGGGGTTTGGTTAAAAACAATGGTTTTGGGGAGAAAAATGGAGGTTTTGGTTAAAAACAGGGGTTTGGGGGAAAAACGGGATTTTGGTTAAAAACGGGATTGGGGTGAAAAAGGGGGTTTTGGTTAAAAATAGCAGTTTTGGGGGGAAAAATGGGAGTTTTGGGGGGAAAAACAGGGGTTTGGGGGAAAAATGGGGATTTGGGGGGAAAACAGCGGTTTTGGGGGGGAACAGGGGTTTGGGGGGAAAAATGGGGGGTTTTGTGGGGAAAAAACAGGGGTTTTGGTTAAAAACAGGAGAATGAGGGCAAAAACCGGGGTTTTGGTTGAAAACAGCGGTTTGGGTTAGAAAAAGGCAGTTTGGGGTTAGGAAATGGTGTTTTGGGGCAGAAAATGGCATTTTAGGGGGAGAAAACATCAGTTCTGGGTTAGACAATGGCAGCTTGGGGCAGAAAATGACATTTTGGGGGAGAAAGCAGCGGGTTTGGGTCAGGAAATGGAACCGTTTTGGGGAAGAAAATGGCATTTTGGGGGCAAACCCCTTGGTTTGGGGTTATAAAATGGCATTTTGGGCAGAAAATGGCTTTTTGGGGGAGAAAACCTCATTTTGGGGGTAAGCAAACAGCATTTTGGGGGTCAGGAATTGTCATTTTTGGCATCAGAAAACACTGAGTTTGGGGTCATAAACGGCGTTTTTGCTGTTATAAAACAGCTTTTTGGGGTCAAAAAATGTCATTTAGGGTCAGAGAGGGTTTTTGGGTCAGAAAATGGCATTTTTGAGTGAGAAAACATCACTTTGGGGTCACAAACTGTGGGTTTGCTCTCACAAAACATTATTTTGGGGTCAGAAAACCTCATTTTTGGGGCCATAAAATGCCATTTTTGGGGTGACAAACAGCATTTTGGGGCCAGATACCATCACTGGGTCAAAAAAACCACTTCAGGGTCATAAAACCTCATTTTGGGGCCATAAAACCAAATTCCAGGGGTCAAAAAACCTCATTTTGGGAACCCAAAACCTACTTTTCGGGTCACAAAACCCCATTTTGGGTTAAAAAGCCCGATTTTGTGGGCCAAAAAACCTCAGTTTGGGGTCACAAAACCTCATTTGGGCGTCCCAAAACCTCATTTTTGGTTCAAAAACCTCATTTTGGGTTCAAAACCTTATTTTGGGGTCCCAAAACCCCATTTTGGGTCACAAAACCCCATTTGGGGGTCCCAAAACCTCATTTTTGGTTCAATACCTTTACTTTGGGTTCAAACACCCTCATTTTGGGTTCAAACACCCTCATTTTGGGGTCACAAAACCTCACTTTGGGGTCCCAAAACCTCATTTTGAGGTCAAGAAAACCCCATTTTGGGGTCCCAAAACCTCATTTTCTGGTCAAAAAAACCTCATTTCAGGGTCCCAAAACTGCATTTTGGGGTCAAAAAACCCCTTCATTTTGGGGTCACAAAACCCCATTTTGGGGTCAAAACCCCTCATGTTGGGGTCAAAAAACCCCATTTTGCGATCACAAACCTCACTTTGGGGTCACAAAACCTCATTTTTGGTTCAATACCTTCATTTTGGGTTCAAAAACCCTCATTTTGGGGTCACAAACCTGCATTCTGGGGTCACAAAACCTCATTTGGGGGTCACAAAACCCCATTTTGGGGTCACACAACCTCACTTTGGGTTCAATAACCTTTTGGGTTCAAAAACCCTCGTTTTGGGGTCACAAAACCCCATTTTTTGTTCAATAACCATGTTGTGGGGTCAGAAAACCCCATTTTGGGGGTAAAAAAACCCATTTTGGGGTCACAAAACCCCATTTTGGGTTCAATACCCTTATTTTGGGTTCAAAACCCCTCATTTTGGGGTCCCAAAACCCCGTTTTGGGGTCACAAAACCACATTTTGGGGTCCCAAAACTCCATTATGGGGTCAAGAAAACCTCATTTTGGGGTCAAATAACCTCATTTGGGGGTCACAAAAAAACATGTTGCCATCACAAACCTCATTTTGGGGTCAATACCTTTATTTTGGGTTCAAAACCCCTCATTTTGGGGTCAAAAAAACGCATTCTGGGGTCACAAAACCTCACTTTGGGGTCCCAAAACCTCATTTTGGGGTCATAAAACCCCATTTTTGAGTCACAAAACCCCATTTTGGGGTCACAAAACCTTATGTTGGGGTCAAAAAAACCCATTTTGTGATCACAAACCTCATTTTGGGGTAACAAAACCTCATTTTTGGTTCAATACCTTTATTTTGGGTTAAAAAACCCTCATTTTGGGGTCACAAAACTGCATTCTGGGGTCACAAAATCTCACTTTGGGGTCCCAAAACCCCATTTTGGGGTCCAAAACCTCATTTTGGGGTCCCAAAACCTCTTTATGGGGTCAAAAAACCCCATTTGGGGGTCACAAAACCTCATTTTGGGGTCATAAAACCCCATTTTTGAGTCACAAAACCCCATTTTGGGGTCACAAAACCTTATTTTGGTGTCACACAACCTCACTTTGGGTTCAATAACCTTATTTGGGGTTCAAAAACCCTCATTTTGGGGTCACAAAACCCCATTTTGGGGTCACAAAACGCCATTGTGGGTTCAATACCCTTGTTTTGGGTTCAATAACCATGTTGTGGGGTCAGAAAACCCCATTTTGGGGTCAGAAAACCCCATTTTTGGGGTCAAAAAACCCATTTCGGGGCCACAAACCCCCATTTTGGGTTCAATACCCTCGTTTTGGGTTCAATAATTGCAGTTTGGGTTCAATAAATGTTTTTTGGGGTCCCAAAACCCCATTTTGGGTTCAATACCCTTATTTTGGGTTCAAAAACCCTCATTTTGGGGTCACAAAACCACATTTTGGGGTCCCAAAACTCCATTATGGGGTCAAGAAAACCTCATTTTGGGGTCAAATAACCTCATTTGGGGGTCAAAAAACCTCATTTTGGGGTCACAAAAAACAATGTTGCCATCACAAACCTCATTTTGGGGTCAATACCTTTATTTTGGGTTCAAAAACCCTCATTTTGGAGTCACAAAACCTCATTTTGGGGTCAAAAAAACGCATTCTGGGGTCCCAAAACCTCACTTTGGGGTCCCAAAACCCCATTTTGGGGTCCAAAACCTCATTTTGGGGTCCCAAAACCCCATTTTGGGGTGACAAAACCCCATTTTGGGTTCAATAACCGCATTTTGGGGTCAGAAAACCCCATTTTGGGGTCACAAAACCTCACTTTGGGTTCAATAACCGCATTTTGGGGTCAGAAAACCCATTTTGGGGTGAATACCCTTACTTTGGGTTCAAAAACACTCATTTTGGGGTCACAAAACCTCATTTTGGGGTCAAAAAAACGCATTCTGGGGTCACAAAACCTCACTTCGGGTTCCCAAAACCCCATTTTGGGGTCAAAAAACCTCATTTTTGGGGTGACAAAACCCCATTTTGGGGTCACAAAACCTCACTTTGGGTTTAATAACTGTGTTTTGAGGTCAGAAAACCCCATTTTGGGGTCACAAAACCTCACTTTGGGTTCAATAACTGTGTTTTGAGGTCAGAAAACCCCATTTTGGGGTGACAAAACCTCACTTTGGGTTCAATAACCGCATTTTGGGGTCAGAAAACCCCATTTTGGGGTCAATACCCTTACTTTGGGTTCAAAAACACTCATTTTGGGGTCACAAAACCCCATTTTGGGTCCCAAAACCCCATGTAGGAGTCACAAAACCTCATTTTGGGGTCCCAACTCCTCACTTTGGAGTCACAAAACCCCATTTAGGGGGCCCCAAAACCTCATTTTGGGTCCAAAAACCCTATTTTTGGGTCACAAAACCCCATTTTGGGGTCAGAAAACCCCATTTTGGGTCACAAAACCCCATGTTTGGGTCACAAAACCCCCTTCAGGGGGTCACAAAACCCCATTTTGGGTCACAAAACCCCATTTTTGCGTCACAAAACCCCATTTTCGGGTCACAAAACCCCATTTTTGGGTCAGAAACCCCCATTTTGGGTCACAAAACCCCATTTTTGCGTCACAAAACCCCATTTTTGGGTCACAAAACCCCAATTTTCGGGTCACAAAACCCCATTTTGGGTCACAAAACCCCATTTTTGGGTCACAAAACCCCATTTTTGGGTCACAAAACCCCATTTTTGGGTCACAAAACCCCATTTGGGGTCACAAAACCCCATTTTTGCGTCACAAAACCCCATTTTTGGGTCACAAAACCCCATTTTTGGGTCACAAAACCCCATTTTTGGGTCACAAAACCCCATTTTGGGGTCCTAATACCCATTTTTGGGTCAGAAAACCCAAATTTTGGGGTCACAAAACCTCATTTGGGGGTCACAAAACCCCATTTTGGGGTCCTAATACCCATGTTTGGGTCAGAAAACCCCAATTTTCGGGTCACAAAACCTCATTTGGGGGTCACAAAACCCCATTTTGGGGTCCTAATACCCATGTTTGGGTCAGAAAACCCCAATTTTCGGGTCGCAAAACCTCATTTGGGGGTCACAAAACCCCATTTTGGGGTGCTAATACCATTTTTGGGTCAGAAAACCCCAATTTTCGGGTCACAAAACCCCATTTTGGGTCACAAAACCCCATTTTGGGTCACAAAACCCCATTTTGGGTCACAAAACCCCATTTTTGGGTCACAAAACCCCATTTTGGGTCACAAAACCCCATTTTTGGGTCACAAAACCCCATTTTTGGGTCACAAAACCCCATTTTTGGGTCGGAAAACCCCATTTTTGGGTCGGAAAACCCCATTTTTGTGCTCCCAAATCCCCATTCTGTGCCTCCAGACCCAGCAGTGGTGCCCCCCATGCCCAGTGCGGGCCCGGCCCTCACCGCGTCCACCAGGAGCTTGGAGCAGAAGAAGCAGACGCAGCGCAGAATCTTCATGGTCTTGGCCAGGAAACCCACGTGGAAAACCGGCTTGGCCAGCTCGATGTGACCGAAGTGGCCAGGGCACTCCGTCATGTTACCTATAGGGACACATAGAGACACATAGAGATACATAGAGATATAGGGGATATAGGGGATATGGGGCCAGCTCGATGTGACCGAAGTGGCCAGGGCACTCCGTCATGTTACCTACATAGAGAGACATAGGGACACATAGAGACACATAGAGACACATAGAGATACATAGAGATATAGGGGATATAGGGGATATGGGGCCAGCTCGATGTGGCCAAAGTGGCCAGGGCACTCTGTCATGTTACCTGTATAGGGATACATAAGGAGACATAGAGATACATAGAGATATAGGGGATATAGGGGATATGGGGCCAGCTCGATGTGACCAAAGTGGCCAGGGCACTCTGTCATGTTACCTGTATAGGGATACATAGGGAGACATAGAGATACATAGAGATATAGGGGATATAGGGGATATGGGGCCAGCTCGATGTGGCCAAAGTGGCCCGGGCACTCCGTCATGTTACCTACATAGGGATACATAGGGATACATAGAGATATAGGGGATATAGGGGATATGGGGCCAGCTCGATGTGGCCAAAGTGGCCAGGGCACTCTGTCATGTTACCTGTATAGGGACACATAGAGATACATAGAGATATAGGGGATATAGGGGATATGGGGCCAGCTCGATGTGGCCAAAGTGACCGGGGCACTCTGTCATGTTACCTATAGGGACACATAGAGATACATAGAGATATAGGGGATATAGGGGATATGGGGCCAGCTCGATGTGGCCAAAGTGGCCAGGGCACTCCGTCATGTTACCTACATAGAGAGACATAGGGACACATAGAGATACATAGAGATATAGGGGATATAGGGGATATGGGGCCAGCTCGATGTGGCCAAAGTGACCGGGGCACTCCGTCATGTTACCTATAGAGACATAGGGACACATAGAGATATAGGGGATATAGGGGATATGGGGCCAGCTCGATGTGGCCAAAGTGGCCAGGGCACTCCGTCATGTTACCTGTATAGGGATACATAGGGATACATAGAGATATAGGGGATATAGGGGATATGGGGCCAGCTCGATGTGGCCAAAGTGGCCAGGGCACTCCGTCATGTTACCTACATAGAGAGACATAGGGACACATAGGGATACATGGGGATATAGGGGATATAGGGGATATGGGGCCAGCTCGATGTGGCCAAAGTGACCGGGGCACTCTGTCATGTTACCTATAGAGACATAGGGACACATAGAGATATAGGGGATATAGGGGATATGGGGCCAGCTCGATGTGACCGAAGTGGCCCGGGCACTCCGTCATGTTACCTATAGAGACATAGGGACACATAGGGACACATAGAAATACATAGAGATACATAGAGATATAGGGGATATAGGGGATATGGGGCCAGCTCAATGTGGCCAAAGTGACCCGGGCACTCCGTCATGTTACGTATAGGGACACATAGAGATACATGGGAATACATAGAGATATAGAGGATATGGGGGATATGGGGCCAGCTCGATGTGCCCAAAGTGACCCGGGCACTCTGTCATGTTACCTAGGGAGAGACACATAGGGATACAGGGATACAGGGATATGGCAGTATGTGAACAAGAGGGATATGGAAATGGGAATGGGGATATGGGAATGGATGGGAATGGGGGGGACTGGAGAGGGATATGGGAATGAGGAGGTGGGAATGGGGGGACTGAAATGGGAGAGATTGGAATGGGGTTGGGAACGGAGGGGTGGGAATGGGGGGACTGGAACTGGGGGGAGACAAGAATGGGGGGATTGGAATGGGGAGGATGGGAATGGGGGTTTGCACCCCACAAATGGAGTGGTTTGGGACGAAAGAGGAGAGAGTTGGCCCTAAAAGGGGGGGGGGTTCAGCCCCAAAAGGAGATGATTTGGTGCAAAAAGGGGGCTTCACCCCCAAAAGGGGTGGCCTGGCCCCAAAACGGGGGGGGTGGGCCCTGAAAAGGGAATGGTTTGGCCCCAAAAGGGGGGCTGGCCCTAAAAAAAGGGGGTAATGAGGCACTAAAAGGGGAATGGTTTGGTCCCAAAAAGGAGGGGGTCACCCCAAAAAGGGGATGGTTTGGTCCTAAAAGGGGGTGGGGGTTTGGCCCCAAAAGGGGAGCTAGCCCTAAAAATGGGGGGCTTGACCCTAAAAAGGGGTGTGTGCCCAAAAAGGGAGTGGGTTCAACCCCAAAAAGGGTGGTTTGGTCCTAAAAGTGGGGGTTTGGCCCTAAAAACAGGGGGATTAGCCCTAAAAAGGAAACGGTTTGGCCCTAAAAGGGGAATGGTTCAGCCCCAAAAGGGACTGGAGCTGCCCTGAAAATGAGGTGGTTTGGCCCTAAAAGGGGGGATTTGGCCCTAAAAGGGGGGATTCACCCCCAAAAGGGGTGTTTGGGCCCTGAAAGGTGGGGGGTGATTTGGCCCTAAAAGGGGATTGATTCGACCCTAAAAGGAGCTGATTTAGCCCCAAAAGTGAGGGGATTTGGCCCGAAAGAGAAGTGATTTAGCCCTAAATGAAGGGGGAAAAGCTTCCCTCCCAAAACGGGGTTATTTCAACCCAAAAAGGGACTTTTCCATTAATTTTAGGGGGTTTTTCACCCCCAAACCCCCCCAAAAGGGGGTGCCCCCTCACTAAAGGGAGTTCATGCCCCCCCCAAAGCAAAGACCCAGCCCACCCCTCCCAATGACTGCTTTGGGGGGGGCAATGGGGCTCCCCCTTGATGGCCCTGTACCCATGAGCACCCCATAGCCCCCCCCCCCCCCGTTTTGGGGGTGCCCCCACTCACCAGCACAGGTCTGGCAGCGCCCGGTCCTCTCGATGACGCCCTGACGGGGGTCCATGAGCCCCCCAAGTTTGGGGCGCCCCCCTTCTGTGGTCTCGGGGTACTTGATGCCCCCCTCAGTCACCGACATCCGTTTCTATGGGGGGAAAGGGGAAACTGAGGCACAAGGGGAGCCCCAAACCCACCCCCATTCACACCCAAATGGATGGGGGGACCCCGAGAACCCCCCTTTAAGCGGCTGCACCCCAAGACTCACCCAAAGGACCCTCCTGGGACCCCAATACCCCCTCCCCAACCCCAAGGCATCCAAAATACCCCCAGGGACCCCAATAGTGCTTTAGAAGCCATTGGGGCCTCACAGGGGCTCAATGGGGACCCCAATAGTGCTTTAGAAGCCACTGGGACCTCCTAGGGGCTCAATGGGGACCCTCAAGGACCCCAATAGTGCTTTAGAAGCCATTAGGGCCTCCTAGGAGCTCAATGGGGACCCCAAAGTGCTTTAGAAGCCATTGGGCTTCATAGGGGCTCAATGGGGACCCCAATAGTGCTTTAGAAGGCATTGGGGCCTCCTAGGGGCTCAATGGGGACCCCCAAGAACCCCAATAGTGCTTTAGAAGGCATTGGGGCCTCACAGGGGCTCAATGGGGACCCCAATAGTGCTTTAGAAGGCATTGGGGCCCCATGGAGCCTCAATGGGGACCCCAATAGCGCTTTAGAAGCCACTGGGGCCCCCTAGGGGCTCAAGGGGGACTTCAAGGACCCCAATAGTGCTTTAGAAGGCACTGGGGTCTCATAGGGGCTCAATGGGGACCCCAAGGACCCCAATAATGCTTTACAAAGCATTGGGGCCTCCTGGACACTGAATGGGTACCCCCAGGGATCCCAATAGTGTTTTAGAAGCTACTGGGACCTCAATGGGGACCCCCAAGGACCCCAATAGTGCTTTAGAAGCCATTGGGGCCTCCTAGGGGCTCAATAGGGACCCCAATAGTGCTTTAGAAGTCATTGGGGCCTTACAGAAGCTCAATGGAGACCCCAATAATGCTTTAGAAGCCATTGGGGCCCCATGGAGGCTCAATGGGGACCCCAAGGACCCCAATAACGGTTTAGAAGCCATTAGGGCCTCCTAGGGGCTCAAGGGGGACCCCCAAGGACCCCAATAGTGTTTTAGAAGGCACTGGGGCCTCATAGGGCCTCAATGGGGACCCCCAAGGACCCCAATAGTGCTTTAGAAGCCATTGGGGCCCCATGGAGGCTCAATGGGGACCTCCAAGGACCCCAATACCGGTTTAGAAGCCATTAGGGCCTCCTAGGGGCTCAAGGGGGACCCCAAGGACCCCAATAGTGCTTTAGAAGCCATTGGGGCCTCCTGGAGGCTCAATGGGGACCCCCAAAGTGCTTTAGAAGCCACTGGGGCCCCATGGAGGCTCAATGGGGACCTCCAAGGACCCCAATAACACTTTAGAAGCCATTGGGGCCTCCTGGAGCCTCAATGGGGACCCCCAAACCCCCCCCAGGGCACCCCAAACCCTCACGAGGGCCCCTTCAGGACCGCGACACCCCCCTGCCCCCCCCCAGGGCCTCCCCATCCTGTGGGGGGCGCTCTACCCCGCACGGGGCCTCTCTGTCTCCCGCTCTCGTTGCCTCGCCGCCATTTCCCGTCCGGGCCCCCCCTCAGCCGCTCTCCCGTTCCCGTTCCCCACCTTCCCATCCCCGTTCCCGTTCCCTTCCCGTTCCCCCCCCAGTCCGGTACCATCTCATCGGGGCTGAGGATCCCGAACTGCACCCGTTTGATGGTGCGCAGCGGGCAGGCGCTGTCTCCGGAGGGCGGCCCGCCGTGCATGGCGCCGGCCCTCGCGCGGCCCTCGCGGCCGCTTCAGGTCCCGAACACTCCCCGAACGCTGCCCCACACAGAGCCGGAGCTCCCCTTGCGGCCCCCGGTAGGACCCGGCGCGACCGGATCCCCCCCTCTTTCGATCCGGCCGCGGCGCGGTCCCGCTCCGACTGAGGCACGCAACGCTTGAGCGCCCCCTTATATCGCCTCGGGAAGGAGGGGGAGTGGCCGGGCCGTACCAAAGCGCGGCGCCTCAGAGAGGGGGGGGATCGGGGTAAAGGCGCTGGGGAAGGGAAGGGGAAGCGGGTCCCGGTGCCGATGCAGGAGCGAGAGGGGATCGGGAGGGAGCGGGGGAAGCCCCGGCTCCGTGCGGCCCCGCGGGGATGCGGCGCTCCCGGCGCACATCCCCCCCCGCGCGGCCATGGAACGACTCATGAATAATTAATGACGTAATGACGCGCCCTACGCAGGCCACGCCCCCAACGGGGCCCCGCCTCCCGCCGCCGCGCCCTGCCGGAAGCGGCCGGAGGTTGCCGAAGTCCCCCAGGCGGAAGCGGCCGGAGGTTGCCGAAGCGCGGCCTGCGCCGCCTCGGCCTCGCCTGCTCGGCCCGACCGCGCTGCCCCCTCCGCGGCCCGGCTGCGGCGCTGGGCAAGGCCCCGGCTTGGGCCTGGTCTCGGTTCCGGTCCCGAGGAGGGCGATGGAGGGTGAGTGCGGCGGGGGTTGTGCTGCGGAGACACGGGCCTGAGGGCGTGTGGGACGTGCGTGCGTGCGTGTTACATGTTTGCGTGTGTACATGCGTGTTGCGTGTGTACATGCGTGTTGCGTGTGTACATGCGTGTTGCGTGTGTACATGCGTGTTACATGTGTACATGCGTGTCAGGAGCGGGTGTCACACCCGTGTGGGCTCCAAGGGGCACCTTACAAGTGTCACGCATCACGCGTGTACATGCGTGTCGTGTCATGTGTCCCGTGCGTCACATGATGCGTGCATACATGGATGGTGCGTGTCACATGTCACGCGTGTACGTTTGTCACGTGATGCACGTCTGTGTTGCATGTGGCACCTGTCCTACGTGTGTACATGTGTCACATGACACGCACGTCCATGTATGTTGTATCTGTCATGTGTGTGCATACGTGTCACATGATGCATACATGTGTGTATGTTATGTACGTCATGTCCCATGTGTATGCGTGTATCACATGATGCGCACGTATGTTGCGTGTCACGTGTCCCGTATGTGTATATATCACATGACGCACATGTACATATATGTTGCGTGCTATATGTTACGTACATGTACACGTGTGTGTCCCGTGATGCACATGTGCACACGTATGTTGTGCGTGTCACATCCCTTATGTGCATGTGTCACGTGATGTATGTCTGTGTTGTGTGTCACGTGTTACATCCATATACATGTGTGTGTCACGTGATGCACATGCATGTGTATATTGTCTGTGTCATGTCCTATGTGTGTACAGGTGTCACATGACGTACATGTGTGTTGTGTGTTGTGTGTTGCACACATAAATGCGTATGTTACGTATAGGTGTTCATGTCACAGGATACACATCTACACACGTATGTTGTGCGTCATGTCCCATATATGCCCATACGTCACATGATGTACATGTACGTTACGTGTTACGAGTCCCATGCATGTATATGTGTGTGACATGATGCACATGTGTACACGTATGTTGTTGCATGCGTCACATGTCACACATGTGCACGTCACATCATGCACATGTATGTGTATGCTGCATGTCACCTGTTTTGTGTGCATGTGTCACATGATACATGTGCATGTATGTTACATGTATCCCGTGCCCCATGCTTGTACATGTGTGTCACATGATGCGCACGTACACATATCTTCCGTGTGTCATGTGTCCCATATGTGCACATGTATCACATGAGGTACATGTATGTTGTGTGCCGTGTCCCATGTGTGTGCATGTGTCACATGATGCACAAGCACGTGTGTGTCAGGTGTCACGTGTCCCATGTGTGTCACATGATGTACATGTGTTGCGTGTCACATGATGCACATGTACATATGCGTTACACGTCACATGTCTTGTGTACATGCGCTACATGACACATGTACATGTATGTTGTGTGTGTCACGTGCCCCATGCTTGTACCTGTGTGTCACGTGATGCACATACATGTGTATTGTGTGTCATGTGTCCCATGCATGCACATGTATGTCACATGGGTCATGTGTCCCATATATACACACGTGTCACATGATGCACATGTGTCACATGATGCACATGCGTACATGTGTGTTGTCACGTGTTCCATACATGTATGTCACATGATGCACGCATGCATGTATGTTGTGTCACGTGACACATGTGTCCGCGTGTGTTACGTCACACATGACGTCACGCTTTGACGTCACACCCCCATATCCCCTCTCTGTCCCTTTAACACCCCCCCCCGCGCGTTGCATTGTGGGCACGTGACGTCACCCCCCCCCCATCCCATCCAATCCGCGCCCGGGGCCACCCCACACGTCACGGCGGCGGTGGGCGGGGCCTGGCGCGGGCGGTGCTCCCCGATTGGCTGCAGGTGAAAGGTCCCCTCTCCCCCTGCGGGACGTGGGGGGGGGGGCTGTTCCCATGGCAACGCGCGGGTGACACCGCCCCCCCCCCATCCCCGCCGCCTGTTGCTGGGGACGGCGGAGCGGGAACAGGCGGCGGCGATGGTAGCGGGGGGGGGCAATGGGGGTGTTCTTATAGGGGTGTTCTTATGGGGGTGTTGTTATGGGGGTGTTGTTATGTGGGGGTTGTCATGGGGGTGTTGTTATGGGGGGGGTGTGATAGAGGGGTTGTTAAGGGGGGGTTTCCGCCTGTTGTTCCGGGTGACACCGCGCTGGGGGGGTGTGACATGTACCATGGGGGGGTTGCTGTTGGGGTGTCGCTATGGGGGGGGTGTTGCTGTTGGGGTGTCGCTATGGGGGGGTGTTACAAGAGGGGGGTTCCCCTCCGCCTGTTCCCCCCCCATCCTCCGCCTGTCGCTGCTGCGTTGTTGTTCCCCCCCCTTTAACCCCGCCCCCCCCATCTCCGACTGTACAACAACACCCGCTGGGGGATGGGGGGGGGGTGTGTGACGTCGCAGTGTCAATGACGTCACGGTGACGTCAAACAGCGCGGTGTGACGTCATGGAGCGCCCCCCCCATCACCCTTCCCTCTCCTCCCCCTCCCCAGGTTCTGGCCCCCCCAGCGGCACCCCCTGCGTGAGGCCTCAGTGCACAGGTGGGGGGCAGGCGTGTGTGGGGCTGCCCCATAGCACGGGGGGGGAGGCTCTATGGGGCTCTATAGAGTTTCTATGGGGCTCTATAGAGTTTCTATGGGGCTCTATGGAGTTTCTATGGGGCTCTGTGGAGTTTCTATGGGGCTCTGTGGGGTCTCTATGGGGCTCCATGGAGGCTCTATGGGGGCTCTATGGGTTCCTATGTGTTTCTATGGGGTCTCTATGGGGGTCTATGGAGATCTATGGAGGCTCTATGGGTTCGTATGGGTTTCTATGAGGTCTCTATGGGGGCTCTATGGAGTTTCTATGGGGCTCTGTGGGGTCTCTGTGGGGCTCTATGGAGTCTCTATGGGGGCTCTATGGGTTCCTATGGGTTTCTATGGAGTCTCTATGGGGGCTCTATGGGTTCCTATGGGTTTCTATGGGGTCTCTATGGGGCTCTATGGAGTCTCTATGGGGGCTCTATCGGTTCCTATGGGTTTCTATGGGGTCTCTATGGGGCTCTATGGAGTCTCTATGGGGGCTCTATGGGTTCCTATGGGTTTCTACGGGGTCTCCATGGGTCTTTATGGAGCCTCTAGGGGGGATCTGTGGGTCTCTATGGGTCTCTATGGAGTCTCTATGTGGTCTCTATGGGGCTCCATGGGGTCTCTGTGCATCCCTATGACGTCTCTATGGGGCGTTATGGGTCTATCTGGCAGCTCTATAGGGTCTCTATGGGGCTCTGTGGTTCTCTATGGGGTCTTTATGGGTGTCTATGGGTTCCTATGGGGCCTCTGTGGGTCCCTATGGGGTCTCTATGGGAGCTCTGTGGGTCCCTATGAGGTCTCTATGGCTCCCTATGGGGCTCTATGGGGCGCAGCCGCCGCGGCTCCTGCGGCCATTTTAAGCCTCCGGCTGCGGAGGACACGAAACAAAATGGCTGCTGGGGGGGGGGGAGGAGGAAGTGAGGGGGGAGGAGCTGTGGGGCTGGAGCCCTGTGGGGCAGAGACCCCTCCCCCATAGCACAGGGACCCCCCTGCCCCATAGCGTGAGGGGACCCAGCCCCATAGCATGGGGGGGGCAGGAAGTTGCTATGGGGGGGCGGGGCCAATGTATGGGGCTGGGGGGGGATGCGTGGGGCTGGGACACCGCAGGCTGTGGGGCGGAGGAAGCCCTGAAGTGGGGCTGGTGGGGGCATAGGGACCCACAGGCACCCCATAGAAGGGAGCCAGGTCTCCATCCAGCCCCATAAACAGCCCCAACCTCACATCCAACCCCATAGAACAGCCCCAGCCCCATATCCAGCCCCATAGAACAGGCCCAGCCTCTCATCCAGCCCCATAGAACAGCCCCAGACCCACATCCAGCCCCATAGAACAGCCCCAGCCCCCCACACTGCCCCATAGAACAGCCCCAGCCTCACATCCGGCCCCCTAGGACAGCCCCAGCCCCAAATCTGGCCCCATAGAACAGACCCAGCCCCATATCCAGCCCCATAGAACAGCCCCAGCCTCACATCCAGCCCCACAGAACAGCCCCAGCCCCATATCCAGCCCCATAGAACAGCCCCAGCCCCAAATCCAGCCCCATAGAACAGCCCCAACCTCACATCCGGCCCCATAGAACAGCTCCAGCCCCATAGAACAGCCCCAGCCCCATATCCAGCCCCATAGAACAGCCCAAGCCCCACATCCAGCCCCATAGAACAGCCCCAGCCTCACATCCGGCCCCATAGAACAGCCCCAGCCCCTCATCCAGCCCCATAGAAGAGCCCCAGCCCCATATCCAGCCCCATAGAACAGCCCAAGCCCCACATCCAGCCCCATAGAACAGCCCCAGCCCTGCATCTGGCCCCATAGAACAGCCCCAGCCCCATATCCAGCCCCATAGAACAGCCCAAGCCCCACATCCAGCCCCATAGAACAGCCCCAGCCCTACATCTGGCCCCATAGAACAGCCCCAGACCCATATCCAGCCCCCTAGAACAGCCCCAGCCTCACATCCAGCCCCATAGAACAGCCCCAGCCCCAAATCCACTCCCATAGAACAGCCCCAGCCCCACATCTGGCCCCATAGAACAGCCCCAGCCCCACACCCTGCCCCATAGAACAGCCCCAGACCCATATCCAGCCCCATAGAACAGGCCCAGCCCCTCATCCGGCCCCATAGAACAGCCCAAGCCCTCACCCTGCCCCACAGAACAGCCCCAGCCCCATATCCAGCCCCATAGAACAGCTCCAGTCCCACATCCAGCCCCACAGAAGAGCTCCAGACCCATTTCCAGCCCCATAGAACAGCCCCAGCCCCACCTCTGGCCCCTTAGAACAGCCCCAGCCCCCCACCCTGCCCCACAGAACAGCCCCAGACTCGCATCCGGCCCCATAGAACAGCCCCAGCCCCATAGAACAGTCTCAGCCCCCCACACTGCCCCATAGAACAGCCCCAGCCCCACATCCGGCCCCATAGAAGAGCCCCAGCCTCACACCCTGCCCCACAGAACAGCCCCAGCCCCATATCCAGCCCCATAGAACAGCTCCAGTCCCTCATCCAGCCCCATAGAACAGTCCCAGCCCCCCCCCCCGCCCCATAGAACAGCTCCAGCCCCACATCCGGCCCCATAGAACAGCCCCAGTCCCATATCCAGCCCCATAGAACAGCCCCAGCCCCATATCCAGCCCCATATCCAGCCCCATAGAACAGCCCCAGCCCCTCACCCAGCCCCATAGAACAGCCCGAGACTCACATCCGGCTCCATAGAACAGCCCCAGCCCCATATCCAGCCCCATAGAGCACCCCCCCTCCTCACTCTGCCCCATTGCCCACAGGTGCTGAGCGCGGCGCTGGAGCTCCCTGAACCGGACGAGCGGCGCCCCCTGGGCCCAGCGCCCCCCAGTGCCCCCCAGCGCCCCCCAGCGGCCCCGCCCTGCCCGGAGCCTTCCCCTCCCCCCCGGGCATGGAGGCGGGGGGCGGGGACGGGGGAGGGGCGGTGGATTTGAGGTGGGGGGGGAGGGGGGGTAAGGAGGCGGCGGCATCGGCACCAATGGCGCTGACGTCATCGGTGACGTCATCGGCATCGTCATCAATGGCACCAATAGCGTTGACGTCATCCTCATTGCCGCCAATGGGATCAATGGGGCCGGTGGTGGTGACGTCATCATCGCTGGCACCCATCGCGGTGACGTCATCATCATCAATGGCACCCATGGCGGTGACGTCATCATCATCAATGGGGCCGGTGGCATTGACGTCATCATCATCAATGGCACCCTTGGCACTGACGTCATCATCAATGGCAACCGTGGCGGTGACGTCATCATCAATGGCACCCATGGCATTGACGTCATCATCATTGGCACCAGTGACACCATTGGCATCAATGGCATCGCCGTCGTCATCGTTGGCGCCATTGACACCATTGGCGTTGACGTCATCGTCACCATCATTGGCACCATTGACACCATTGGCATTGACGTCATCGTCATCACCATCATTGGCACCATTGACACCATTGGCATTGACGTCATCGTCATCACCATCATTGGCACCATTGACACCATTGGCATTGACGTCATCGTCATCACCATCATTGGCACCATTGACACCATTGGCATTGACGTCATCGTCATCACCATCATTGGCACCATTGACACCATTGGCATTGACGTCATCGCCATCGGCAGCACCATTGGCACCATCGACGCCATCATTGTCACCCTTGGCGCCATTGGCATTGACGTCATCGTCGTCGTCATCACCATTGGCTGCAGCAGCAGCAGCTTTGGCACCATTGGTGGCGGCAGCAGCAGCTTTGGCACCATTGACACCGCGATCGGCACTGGCACCGGCACCGTCATCGTCAACGCCGTCACCATTGGCATCATCATTGACTCCATTGACGACATCAGCGCCGTTGTTGACTCCATTGACACCACCATCATTGACCCCATTGACACCGCCGTCACCATCACTGACCCCAGTGGCACCACCATCACCATCATTGACCCCATTGGCACCACCATTACCGTCATTGACCCCATTGGCACCGCCATCACCATCATTGACCCCATTGACACCACCGTCTCGATCACTGACCCCATTGGCACCGCCATCACCATCATTGACCCCATTGACACCACCGTCTCGATCACTGACCCCATTGGCACCGCCATCACCATCATTGACCCCATTGGCACCTCCATCGCCATCATTGACCCCATTGGCACCACCATTACCATCATTGACCCCATTGGCACCACCATCACCATCATTGACCCCATTGGCACCACCATCACCATCATTGACCCCATTGACACCACCATCTCGATCACTGACCCCATTGACACCACCATCACCATCATTGACCCCATTGACACCACCATCTCGATCACTGACCCCATTGCCACCGCCCTCACTGACCCCATTGGCACCGCCCTCACCCTCACTGACCCCATTGGCACCGCCATCACTGACCCCATTGGCACCGCCCTCACCCTCACTGACCCCATTGCCACCGTCGTCCTCCTCCTCGCCCCCCCCCCTTGCCTGCGGGCTCTGTGGCCGTGCCTTCGCCTCGGCGCCGGCGCTCGCCTTCCACCTGAAGCTGCACCGGGGCCGCCGGGGCCTGGGCTGCCGGCACTGCGGGAAGAGCTTCATCCACGTCAAGAGGCTCCAGACCCACGAGGTGCTGTGCAGGGACGGGGACAGCGCCATGGCCAACAGTGCCATGGGCAGCACCATGGCCAACAGCACCATGGGTAGCACTATGGCCAACAGCACCATGGCCAACAGCACCATGGACAGCGCCATGGCCAACAGTGCCATGGGTAGCACCATGGACAACAGCACTATGGGTAGCACTATGGCCAGCAGCACCATGGACAGCACCATTGCCAGCAGCACTATGGGTAGCACCATGGCTAACAGCACCATGGACAGCGCCATGGGTAGCACCATGGACAGCACCATGGGCAACAGTGCCATGGGTAGCACTATGGCCAACAGCACCATGGCCAACAGCACCATGGCCAACAGCACCATGGCTAACAGCACTATGGGTAGCACTATGGCCAACAGCACCATGACCAATAATACTATGGCCAACAGCACCATGGATAGCCCCATGGCCAACAGCACCATGGATAGCCCCATGGCCAACAGCACCATGGCCAACAGCACCATGGCCAACAGCATCATGGCCAATGGCACTATGGCTAACAGCACCATGCCCAATAGCACCATGGACAGCACCATGACCACTAGCACCATGGACAGTGCCATGGCCACTAGCACCATGGACAGCACCAGTGGGACTATGGCAGGCAATAGCGCCAAGGACAGTGCCCATGGCACCATGATGGGCAATGGCTCCATGGACAGCACTAAGGCAATGGTGAGCAATGGGTCTATGGACACCACCAAGGCAATGGTGAGCAATGGCTCCATGGACAGCACCAAGGCAATGGTGGGCAATGGGTCCATGGACACCACCAAGGCAATGATGGGCAATGGCTCCATGGACACCACCAAGACAATGGTGGGCAATGGCTCCATGGACAGCACCAAGGCAATGGTGGGCAATGGCTCCATGGACACCACCAAGACAATGGTGGGCAATAGAGCTATGGACAGCACCCATAGCACTGTGGTGGTCAACAGCACCATGGACACCACCAACACCATGAAGGTCAACAGCACCATGGACAGCTCCAAGGCAATGGTGGGCAATAGCACCATAACCACCACCATGGGAAGCAATAGCACCAACACCATGAAGGTCAATAGCACCGTAGACACCA